CCACAGGGCCCTTTGCTCGCTGATCTGGCATGAGGCAGGTTTAGTCCCCTCTCTTTACTCTGGTGCACTTTTGTAGCAAATCATGTTTCCTAAAAATGACCCCCCACACTCACACCCCCATGCTCACCTTACCTGACACTCTGCACCGGGAGGGGGGTTTGGGTAGGGGTCTGCGCCTGCCTCCAGCAGCAGAGTGTGATGGACTCTGTGCTGTGACTGGCCAGGGGGTGGGGCCTCTCATGGCTTCTTCAGGCTTGGAACTGGGAGCCACTGGGCTGTTTGGAAGCCCTGGCCTCATGGAAAAGCCAGGTGCAGGCGTCCCAGTCATGGGCCCCACCTGGGGGCCCTGCTTCTGGCTCCCAAGGAGAGCAGACCCCAGCCTGCCCACATCATAGTCTATGAGCAGAATGGGATGTGCCCCTGTTCTGAGCCGCCGCGGTTCAGAGTGACTCGGTACTTTGGACAGGCTCCTCAGTCCAAGTGACCAGGGCACTTGATGGGCAGATAGTGGACACGCTGATCCTGGTGGCTGATGTCATGAACGCTGCTGCCTGCCAGGGGCCAGCGGGGGCCTCACAGGACCTCTCGGCACCCGCTGGGCTGGGTTCTGCTACCATCCTCCTTTCCCTGGCAAACCTCGTCTCTGGAGGGGTGAGCAAACTGCCCAAAGGCGCCCGGACTCACGCAGGTGGGACTTGCCCAGATGTCCATCTGACTCCGGAACCTGTGCTCCGAACCAACCCGTCCCTGGCCCCCAGCCCCCAGGGCATGTAGAATCTGGCTACCACGGCTGAAAGCAGTCACGCCTTGCTTCACTCATGGACTTTTGCCATCTTCACTGTGTCTTCAGACCGGGCCCTGTGGGAAGAAAACTCCAGCAGCAGCTCTCAGGTCAGTAGGAGGGTCATCCCGGGATGGAAGTTAATGCAGAGCTAGGAGCTGCAGGCGAGGGGGAGGGGGAGTGGGGGGAGGGGGAGGGGAGGGGCAGGGAGGAGGGGACAGCTCAGCAGAGGCTCAGAGGGCAGGGATGGGGAGCAAGATTGGCCTGGGGAACTGCCCGCAGCATCCCACCCCAGCATCAGTGGTCCTCGAGGGTATGGCTGATATATCGGGACTGGGCCTCACCTCAGACACATGGGGCACAAACAAACTGAATGCCTGAATCATTGAGTGGACCCAGGAGGTTCCTCCAAAGTCTGTTTCATGTGGGTCCCTGGAGAGTCAGGCCATGTTGTCAGATGGTCTCATTCATTCATTTGACCACAGATCTCTGTGCACGTCTCAGAGGTTCCAGGCAGGAAACAGAGGGACGTGGCCCCGCCCTCTGGGAACCTGACGCTGGAGCAGAGAAGGCAGAGGCCCCGAAAGGGACAAGGAATGACCTGGTCAGTGTGTGGGGCCACAGAGCAGGCAGGGCTGGGACGGAGGTCCAGGAGAGTGCGCCCGTGAGAACACGGGGTGGTGGGGCCGGGCAGGCACAGGGCGGGCAGATCTGGGAGCAAGGGCTTGGTGGAGCCAGCACCCCAGGGTGGCTGGAGGTTGGGGACCCGCAGGGCTGAGGTTCCTGGGGGGATGACAAGGCAGGACTCGGGGCAGAGGACACCTCTGTAGGGCGGCCGTGGGGGCAGAGCCGCATGTTCACCCTGAGAGGGGGCAGCCTCCTCCAGGTGCATGGTCCTTGAGGTCATCCGGCCCTGCCTCCACCCTGGACAGCAGCTGAATCAGCATCGTCAGCATTCCCCCCATTTTCTCCCAGGTCCTCCCATCCTCACACCCCCTTGTTTAGGAGCATGAAGCTCTCCATCCAGCTGGAGTCAGATCTCATTGGTCACTGGCCAGGCTCCTGTCTCATCTCTGGGCTGTTAGCAAGTCCAGTTCACGTCTGACGCAGGTCCAGCCACAGGGAACATTCTCATCAGGTCTGGACCTGCCTCCCATCCTGCAGGCTCAGGCCCAGACGGCTGGGACGTCAATGACTTCTTAGCCCAGGACAGGGAAGGGGCAACTTAAAATGGACAGAGTCCCTGGCCTGGGAGACGCCAGCTGGCAGCTACTCAGTCCCCTCTGCCTCCCCGTGTGTCATTCGGGAAACCTGAAGCCAATTAGCTGTGTGTATTTCCCTGTTCACTCAGCACACAGGCTCTGGGTTTTCCGATGTGGTTTGTGTCCGCTAGGTGTGAATTTGCGCGCTAGCCGGACCGTCCAGAGATGATTGATTCCTTCCAGCCCAGGCACCTTGGCCAGATGCTCTCAACCTGGAGACCTCAGCCTGCAAACCGCAGATGAAGACAGCCACTCCCCTGCTCCGAGACACTTTCCGCAGCTCAGACAAGTTCACAATCAGACGACTCCTGCTCGTCAACACCCAGCACGGGCATTCTGCTCTGGGCACAGAGAGGATAGCCCAAAACCTGGGCGAGTGCAGAAATGGAGCTCTCTGGGAATGATGACTCCTTCTCCATCACGCCCAGGCTTCAGGACGCAACCTGAACACCAGGGGTGAGTGACCCTCCCAGGAGCCGCTCTCAAACCAGAGCCATGCTTTTAGAAATGGCCCAAATCATTGGAGAGAGTGGGGACGAGGGGGTGATATAGGGACACCTGCGTTAGCAGATGAGTCTAACCCAGAGGGGCCTTATTTTTCCATTTTGCCCCTGTCCTTAGGATCCTGGTTTTACTCCAGGGTGGTGTGATCTGGGAAATCCTTGTCGCCCCAAGAATGTCAGGGGGTCTCATACACAGGTTGGCTCTGGTAGGTACCACTCTCCTGGCCACCCCAGCGGCCTTCCAGCCGAGTTCCTGCTTGCAAAGAATTTACTGCTTGTAAAGAATTTTCGTGGGGGCCACCGTCATCTTGTTCTGAACTCTCTCCTCCAAGTGCTCAGGAATACTGCCCATGGCAGGGAAGGCCTCATGCCGGCGGTGCCGGGCCTGCACTGAAGTCATCATCCAGGTGTGTGTCCACCTTGTAGGCCGGTCCTCGGCCAGCCCCGCCCCGCCCCTTGACAGCCTTTGGGGATCTCTGCGTGGGGACATGGTCAGTCCTCTGGGAGTTCTGGATGCTCAAGTCAGAGACCCCTGCACACCCGTTGGGGACCAGGCAGACACCGGCTCCAGCAGGACAAAGGTGGTGGAATGGCTCTGGGTATTGACTGCTGACAGCTGCCCTGGTCAGAGGGAGCCCCACAGTAGCTCATGTTCACAGCCACTAAATTTTGGCTAAATCACAGGACCAGGGCCATAATGGAAAGACATAAAAGAGGCCCACAAAATGCTCAGGATTTTTAGGTTTTATTTAGGATATAAAAGGAATATTTATGACAGTCCTGCACATAATAAATATTTCTTGCCACATGCATCATCACTTGGCAACTTACACCCTACTTTAGAAACGGGAATGGCCCATAAAGAGGCATGTGAGGCTTCTGTGATTGCATCCACATCGCCCGGGGTCCAGGAGGCAGAGGGACCTGGGCTGCTCATGGTGAAGTGTTCCTGGGGCTGATTCCTGAGACCTTGAACCCTGGTGGCCAAGGCAGTTCTTGAGAGGTCAGGACAGCTATCCCAGGGTCACCAGCTTGGGAGAGCCTTGCCCAGGGGCCTCTGGCTGCACAGTTCTGCCACCTCCCTCGTCTCTAGCTGTGGACGGTGGATGTCCCACGCTGCATCCCTGCCCAAGTGCCAGGGCCTGTTACGTTCTGGGGATGAAGGGGAAGGGCCGGCCCTGTGTCCAGGACTCACAATGGACACAAGGCAGGAGTGAGACAGGGGCCCGGCTGACAGAGCACGTCAGGGTTCAGGGGATCAAGTGACGAATGCAGCAATGACCGAGGGTGTCCTCAGCCAGGACCCCCACCCCAGGCGTCTCGCTGCTTCACATGGGGGACTCGTGTGAGCCTCACATGCACCAGGAGCCATCAAGGTTATCGCCCCCTTTTATAGACAGACTGAGTCAGAGAGAGGGCGCTGGGGCGGGGACTGGAGCACAGCCTCTGCCTTGAGGACCTGGGCATTCAGCCACATTTCCACACGCCCCCATGGTCAGGATGGGAGTGACTGCTGGGGAGAGAGAGCTTCCTGTGACCACGCTGGGCCTGGAGCCCGATGCTCGTGTGTCCCAGGCCTTTCCCCTGAACCTCCCTCTCTACGCCCCCTCCTCCTTCCCCCCCCCCCACTGGGCAGCCCACAAGGCTCTCAGAATCCCCCCTTACACCTTCTGAGGCTCAGAGAGAAGGCATTTGCCTAGGGCCGCAGACTCAGGCCACCCCCAACCTCACGGGCCCCCCAGACTTCACTGATGCTCAGACTTGTTTGAAACAGAGCTGCAGGCCAAAGACGGCCGGCGGGCAGCTGGCAAGCTGGGGCTGGCCCCTAAACTCTTGGGAGGCCCGATTCAATTCTTCTGCCACCTCATCTCAGTTCCCATCTCCCGGGGGGCTGCCGGGTGAGGGGGTCACGTGTGCAGATAGCAGGCCAATGCCACACACACGAGGTCTTGTGCCCCCAAGAAGTCCTTCTCATGGGGCATGGACTCTGCAGTCTGGGCTGTGCTAGGCCTGGCCGGGACCCAGGCCCTCTGCAGGTGGAGGACACGAGCGATGCATCACGCTCGCTGCGTTTAATCGCCCCTGCAGAGGTATTATTATAATCCCATTTTCCTATTATTCAGGCAAAGTTAGGCTAGAGAATATATAACCTGATTATGCACCATATAATGTATGAAGCCAGGAAGGTCTTAAAATTAAAACATTTAAAAAGAACTGTCTGGGGAGGTAGTTAAGATCCATTTAAATCCTTATCAAATAATGAAAATATCTCCAGAAAAAAAAAAAAAAACAACAGCCTCTCAGCTATGTGTTCACTTCCACGATCATTTGAGTTTTTAGTATTAAGTCTAAAGACAAATTCACATGAAAATATTTGTGATTTAAGTGTTCCTTTCGGTCACAGGCTGAGAAAACTGGCCAGGTGCAGGCGGGCTTTTTAAAGGGTCTCTGATCATGTGGGGTCGATGGCAGCAGGGAGGTGGGTGTCCCTGCTGGTCCCCGGCCCCGTACGCCCGCAGCACTGCCTTCTCCGGCCAGCTCGGCCTGGTGGGCAGCGGCGGGCAGCACCAGCCGGTCAGTCTTGCCTCCTCTGTGGGTCTCTGATTCTCCGCCCGCGGGTGAGGGTTAGGATTCTGTCATTTCCTCACCTCCTTCTCCGGAGGCCATGCTGCTCCCAGCCTCTGGTAGAACCCCCAGGGAGTGAACGTGGTGACTGCAGGGGCCTTGTTTAACGCTCTGAGCCTGGCGCAGCCTCTTGGCACCTTGACGCATATTTCAAGGATCAGTCACCTTCTCGGCAGTCCTGGCACTGAACAGACAGCCGCTGTTTGGGAGCAAAGGCGGCGGGACGGGGGTCTTGACCAGATCGGGTCATGCTGGTGGCCACGGGGCTCGGGCCTGGGCTGAACTGCGTGTACCATGGTCTCTGGCCATGTCTGGGTTGTCCAGCCCAGGAGCTGATGGAGCCAGGGAAGGAGCCAGGTGGTGGCCACATGGTGAGCAGCACGCAGCCTCCTGGCAGCAGGGATGGGCTGAACTAGATGGAGGGTTGGCTGGGGACCCAGACGGGGAGCCTCAGGTCCCGGGAGGGGGCGGGGACTGACTCCCCAACAGAAGAAGCAAAGGCAAAGCCCTTACTTGTCCTCACTTTTATCCTTCCTTGCTGCTGAGCAACAAAGCATAGATGAGCTTCGGTGAGATGGTGCCCTGGAATGAATTAGGTCTTTAAAACCCATGAAGATGGACATTTTCAAACATGTAGAAGACTGAACGCAAAAGAATGACCCCCAAGCACCCAAGCCTCGTGTCAGGAACCCTAGACACTACAGCGGGTCCCTTGGGTGCCCCTTCCCTCTCCAGACCAGACTTCAGGCCGCCCATGAGTTAGCACCAAGGGTCAGGAGGTGACCCCGGATGCTCCCAGGCACCAGCCAGGCCCCCAGCTCCCACTCAGCCTGGCCCAGAGCAGGGATGCCCTGCCCTGTGATTGTGACATAAAGGAAAGGATGCCCACCAAGCCCCCGCCCTGGCTTCCTGCAGCTGGGCGATGGCCAGCCCGAGTCTGCCCCCAACCACACTCATCTCTTCTGTGGGCCGGCGGGAAGCCAGCAGCTCCGCCCGCTGGGCCCTCTGGCCCGTTCCATGTTACTTTTCATCTTGCTCTGCCTCTGCTGCTTGGGATGCGTGGTGCTGTGTCAGCATGGTGGTGACAGCTGGCTGTGGCCCCGACCTGGTTCACCCTAGTTCTTGTCTCTGGCACGACACGCTTCAGAATGGGCAGAAACTGCTTGTATCCACGTGCCTCCAGCCTCCTGGGTGCAGCTGGGTCCCCTCGGTCATCAAGGGCCTAGCCCCCTACTACCACTCAAGGTCAGCCAACCGTCCTGCTGTTTTTTGAGCTCAGAATCAGTTGCTCACCATATACATTTGTGATGAAGGCCAAATAATGAGATCAGGACACAATTTACATCTTCAGAAGTTTATTGATAGTCTCAGCAGAGCTGTTGGACAAAACATTGATTAGCTGGAAGATTGGTTTTTTTTTTTGTGAGAAGCATTGAGAACTTCCTTGTTCAGACTCAAGACAGAAACGCAGGACAAACACGTGGCCCCAAACCAGGACCTAAGATCCTGTGTTCTGAGGGTGGGGGGCAGACCCTCTGCAGCCGGCGCTTGCCGGCGTCCCTAGGGCGACCCGGCCCTGCTCGGGGCACAGGCCGACGGCCGGCGCTCAGTGCCCGGGTCCAGCCCGCGCCTGGAGGGATGGCTGCCGGGGGTGTGCGGCTCTGGCTCCAGGGCCTTCATGGAGGTGACTCGAGGGTGCCCTCTCTGGGACGAGGGATGTGGTGAGGAAATGCTCGGGTTCCCCAGGGTCAGTGGGACCAGCGTCGGTTGCGGAAACCTGAGGAGGGGAGCTGGGGTAGGCTTGAGCAGGCCGTGACGCCCCGGTGGGCAGGGGAGTGACCTGAAGGCGGGGTTCCTGTGCAGGAGCGAGCCCAGGCCCCCAACCCTGCAGAGCCGCCTGGGTCTGTATTTCTGGGCTCTTCCCTCCTGTGTTGATGGCCTGGAGCTGGCCCTGGGGAGGTCACAGCAGTCCCTTTTGTAGGGACACCTCCATGCCCTGCCTGCCACCAGGGTCCCTGGGGCTGAGACCACAGCCAGGTGCACATCCAGCAGGGCCTAAGCTGGACCCTTCCCTGGAATGTCATGCCCAGGGTCTCTCCTGCGGGCCAGGGCCACTCCTGGCCTGGCTGGCTTGTCACTGTCAGGAACTCGTGCCTCTGGCCATGAACCCCACCCCAGTGACTTTACCCTGCTTCTCTCCGTTACCTGGACCACAGTTTCCCGGGGGGGGCCTCAGGAGGAGGGCAGCCGTGGGGAGCAGGACAGGGTGGGTGGAGGGGTGCTCAGAGAAGGGGCGGCAAGAGCTGTGTGGGCCCCTGCCGGCCACAGGGACCACTGCCCCGGGACTGTGGGGCTGGGCTGGGGTGTGCTGAGGTCACACGCCCTGGAAGCATGGATGGTGCAGGGACGCTGCATGGTCTGAGCTACATGGGCTGAACATGCAACATGAGGGGAAGAGCACTCTGGGCAAGGACTCACGTGTGTGCACACGTGTGTGCGTGGAGAGGGGAGGAGAGGCGTGCCACACGCTGGGCCTTCCTTGCACCCCCGGACTGTGGGATGGGACGGCCGTCGGCACCACAGCAATGCCTGTGTTCTCCAGACCACGGGGGTGGGGGAGGACAGAGCCCCAGACGTGGGTTCACAGACACGAGTCCCAGTGCACCTGTGTCCACACACCCACACGTGCTGGGAAACGCAAGTGTGAGGTAATTTGGGTATAGAAATTATTAAAGGCATTGCTTCCTTCTGATATATGAGTTTTATTTTGCTATAAAAACATTTTGTAATGAGCACATAAACATGGGACTTCGTGTAGCTGTTGTATAAATGCAATCGTGGGCTTGCAGATTTCGAGCTGAACAATTTTACAAGCCTGATTTTAGAGGATACAGCTTAAGGAAGGGCGTTGTTTTTGAGGAATCGCTGGACATTGAAGACAAATCACACAGGCAGAATGGGGCGGTCAGGGACCAGGAAGGTCTGCCCGGGACTGGAGGAGGACACGGCCAGCCGGCCACCTCATGCCCAAAGCCCCTCTAACTTCAGGTCCCCGAGGGCCCGGGAGCAGTTCCAGTCCCTGTCTGGTCATGGGCTGAGACACTTGCTTTTCTGAGAGATTCCTTCTTTTCTAACCAGAATCAGTTCTGACTCACCTTTCATACTGGTCACTAAAGAAATCAGCTAGCTTCGTACACGTAGAATTATTCTGTTGCCCAACTTCTATTTTAAAATTTTGAAACCTTCAAAAAAAGTTTAAAAACTGTAAAATAAACACTCCTACATTTTTCAAATTCATACGTTTTAGCAGCTTGTCATATCTGTGCTCTCTCTATATGTGTATGCACATACATTCACGTACACATCTATACAGAGTTTTTTTCTGTTAATAAATTATGAAGAAGTGAGTCTGAGACATCCTAACATTTTACCCATAAGTTCTTCAGCATGAGTCTCCAAAGAGTAAGGACTCCTGCCCACCTAACCAAAACACCACTGTCATACCTAAAGCTCTTTGACATTAACTCAGCAATAGCTCACAGTTGTCAGCTCACATCCATATTTGAGTTTCTTCTATTTATAAACATGTGTTACATGTTTTCTCCCCCAGGATACAATCTGTTTCACTCACTAGTTCGGGGGCCCCTCCGGACATTTAGAAATCCAGAGCTCCCCTCCGGACATTTAGAAACCCGGAGCTGCCCTCCGTCCACTTCCGCACGTTGTCGTTGTTTTCCAGGGCCGTGGTTCACTGGGAGCCCAGCGCCACACCTGGGGTCACAGGGCTGTGCCGTACGGCTCACTGTGGGATGGCGTTTCCGCCCAGGACTCTGCGGAGGTGTCTTCCCACTGCTTCCTGGCAGCAGGCCCACGGTGGCCCCTGCTCCCTCACTGGCCCCCGGTTGTGTGGTGTCTGTGAAAGCGTACTCGGTGCTGCTGGGTCTGTGTGGACACCTGGCTCCACCCTCCATGGTCACGACCCTTCCCTTGGGGACCGTCACACCAGCAGTGGCAAAAAAACAGGACGTGTGTGCTCCATCGGTAAAGGAAAATGCTCCTTTTTGCTCCTTTCGCTCTCCCATTCATCTGTACAGATAGGTTTTTCAAAGACTTATCACCCACTGTCTCCAGTGTGGGATGCTCACATGTCCTCTCCTGTAGCCATTCCTGGAGGTGGGCATCTGAGTCCTTCTGCGGTGGAGTCTTTGCCTTTGTGTTCTGCCTTGTTTCTATGACAATGAGATGTCCTGGATTCATGAACCACTCTGCTTTCACTAGACTCCAAAGACGCTCATTCCTTTTACTGTGTGGATACAGAAAATTACATATACATGCACATATCTGCACACACATCACACATATATGCACACAATTACATTATAGGTGCATGGAACATGCACTCCTTCAAAACCAGCATCTGCTGTTTTGCATTTTACTTTTCCTTCTCCAATGGTGAGAAGTCTCCTTCCCAACATCCTCAACCAAATACTTATTCATCCACTTTCTCCTCCAACACACATGTCATTTAATGCTTACTATCCCACTGCCACTGTCAACAATAAGCCTAACTAAAATTCATAACATTTTTTATTGCTCTCAAAATATATTCCACAAAGGATAGACAGGGTGCACTATTTAAAAGATCTTTGAATTATTTTTCTGGGAGCTATTTGTTATAAATTTGATGTGTGCTTGGGACCGTATAGCTCTGTTTGAATTCACTATTACTTTGTCTTTCTTAATTAATTTCATTTTTTAATATAGAAAATATTTACATGGTTCAAAATTAAAATCATAAAACAGATTAATTAGAGGAACCTCAGGCTCAGTCCTGCCCCTTCACCATATTTCCATCCACATCATACAGTTCATCTTCCTGGGCTTCTTTTTGTAACAAAATAAGTGATTGTATACCATTTTTTGCACTTCTTTTTTACTTACGGTCCCAGAAAACAAACATGGTTACCAGAGAGGAAAGGGCTGGTGGTGGGGAGGAGTAAAGTAGGAGCTTGGTATTAACATATACATACTACTATATATAATAAATCCCTGGTGCCTCAGTGTAAAGAATCCACCTGCCAATGCAGGAGATGCAGGTTTGTTCCCTGGGTTGGGAAGATCCCCTGGAGAAGGAAATGGCAATCCATTCCAATATTCTTGCCTGGAAAATCCCATGGACAAAGAAGTCTGGCATGCTACAGTCCATGGGGTTGCAGAGAGTCAGACACGAATTAGCAACTAAACAATAACAACAGCAATATATAAAATAACCAACAAGGACCTACTGTAACCACAGGGAAATATACTCAGTATTTAGTTTTTTGTAATAACCTGTAACAGAAAAGAATCTGGAAAAGAATATATGTGTGTGTGTGTGTTGTGTATATATGCATATATATCTGAATCACTGTTCTATACACTTAGAACTGACACAATAGTGTAAATCAACTATAGTCTGTGTGTGCGTGCTGAGTCGTGTCCAACTCTTTATGACCCCATGGACTGTAGCCCACAAGTCTCTATTCATGGGATTTCTGAGGCAAGGATACCAGAGTGGGTTGCCGTTACCTCCTCCAGGGGATCTTCCTGACCCAGGGATTGAACCGAAGACTCTTAAGTCTGCATCATCAGGCAGGTTCTTTACCACTAGCACCACCTAATCAGCTATACTTCAATTTGAAGGAGGTGTAAGTAAAACAGGTCCTGTCCTCTATGACAGAGAGGCCCCCAGTCATTTCTCCTGTTTCCTGACTGCCCACCAACAGGAGCACTGTGGTCCATAGAGGGACCAATGCTGCCCAGTAAATGTGGGCAAAGGGGGGTTCATCTTTGAGGGCACTCCTTGAAGTGCACCTTGAGGCCAGAGCATGTGGTTACACATTTTCTTAGACATGTAGTTTGGCTCTCCGCCACAGGGAAGTAGCTTTTGGTACTTGGACTAGCACGGTGGAAGGGGTCTTCCTCTCCCTACCTGCCAAAGGGAGTCTTTCCAAGTTCATGTATTTGTGCTAACTGGAGAGGTGAGGGATGGCGTCAACACATTGCTTTAACATATTACTCTTCTTCATGAGTGAAACTGTAAATATGTTCTCACAGTTTGCTATTTGTCTTGAATTCACTTGGGAGGATTTGTACCATACAATTTAAAAAGCATGCCATCATGTTTATCAGTCTTTTATTGTGTTGCTTCTAAATTTTGAGTTCCAAATTGAAAACCTTTTTTTCACCTCTGGGTTAAAAAGAAGTTCAGCTCTGCTCTCTCCTAATATTTGCATATATCTATTTTTATCTTCAGATCTATCTGAGCTGTGTTATGATGAACACCGAGCAGGATTGCCTAATTCTCCCAGTGGCAGTCAAGTCCGTAATACCACTAACCAACATTTATCTTCTTCCTAAAAATTTGAGAGATAGTTTCTTTAAAACATGCTCAATTTCCACATATATTTGGGTTTATTTATGGGTTTCTATTTTCTTCTGTTGTATGTTGATTCATTTCCCAATATTATTCTATTTTAGTCAGAGACATTATCATATTTTTAATATCTAATAAATTTCCCTTCATTATTTTTCTTTTAATTTTTTATAAGGTCTTTTGCATTAGCTTCCATATGAAATTTGGAATCTACGTGTTTGATTTCAGCAGAACAAACTTACTAGCATTTTTACTGGCATCTCAGGAAATGTATACATTAACCCAAGAGGCCTGGCCTCTCCAGAACTGCCAGAACTTCCAGAGGACTGGGGAAACAGAGCCTAGGAGGGCGCAAACAGAACCCTGTCCTCACCAGAACCCAGGAGAAAGGAGCAGCGATCCCACAAGGGACTGACCCAGACTTGCCCGTGAGCATCCAGGAGTCTCTGGCAGAGGCGTGGGTTGACGGTGGCCTGCTGCAGGGCTGGGGACACTGAGTGTAGCAGTGACTGCATAGGACCTTTTGAAGGAGGTCGCCATTATCTCCATCACCTCCACCATAGTTTGGCCTCAGGTCAGATACAGGGAGGGAACACAGCCTTGCCCATTAAAGGAAAATTGGATTAAAGATTTACTGAGCATGGCCCCACCCATCAGAACAAGACCCAGTTTCCCCCTCAGTCATTTTCTCCCATCAGGAAGCTCCATAAGACTCTTATCCTTTTCCATCAGAGGGCAGACAGACTGAAAGCCACCATCAGAGAAAACTAGCCAATCTGATCACATGGGCCACAGCCATGTCTGACTCAATGAAACTATGAGCCATGCCATGTAGGGTCATCCAAGACCGACTGGTCATGGTGGAGAGGTCTGACCGAATGTGATCCACTGGAGAAGGGAATGGCAAACCACTTCAGTATTCTTGCCTTGAGAATCCCATGAACAGTATGAAAGGCAAAAAGATATGACATTGAAAGATGAACTCCCCAGGTCGGTAGGTGCCCAATATGCTACTAGAGATCAGTGGAGAAATAACTCCAGAAAGAATGAAGAGATGGAGCCAAAGCAAAAACAACACCTAGTTGTAGATGTGACAGGTGATGGAAATAAAGTCTGATGCTGTAAAGAGCAATACTATAGGAATCTGGAATGCTAGGTCCACGAATCAAGGCAAATTGGAAGTGGTCAAATAGGAGATGGTGAGTGAACATCAACATTTTAGGAATCAGTGAACTAAAATTGATTAGAATGGGTGAATTTAACTCAGATGACCATTATATCTACTACTGTGGGCAAGAATCCCTTAGAAGAAAAGGAGAGGCCATCATAGTCAATAAAAGAGTCTAAAATGCAGTATTTGGATGCAATCTCACAAAAGACAGAATGATCTGTTCGTTTCCAAGGGAAACAATTCCAAGTCTATGCCCCGACCAGTAATGCTGAAGAAGATGAAGCTCATGGTTCTATGAAGACCTACAAGACCTTCTAGAACTAACACCCTAAAAAGATGTCTTTTTCATTATAAGGGACTGGATGGAAAAGTAGGAAGTCAGGAAATACCTGGAGGAACAGGCGAATTTGGTATTGGCATACAGAATGAAGAAGGGACAAGGTTAACAGAGTTTTGCCAAGAGAACAAACTGGTCATAGCAAACACCCTCTTCCAACAACACAAGACACAGCTCTACACATGGACATCACTGCTGATGCTACTGCTAAGTCACTTCAGTCGTGTCCGACTCTGTGTGACCCCGTCCCTGGGATTCTCCAGGCAAGAACACTGGAGTGGGTTGCCATTTCCTTCTCCAATGTATAAAAGTGAAAAGTGAAAGTGAAGTCGCTCAGTCATGTCTGACTCTTCGTGACCCCATGGACTGCAGCCTACCTGGCTCCTCTGTCCATGGGATTTTCCAGGCAAGAGTACTGGAGTGGGGTGCCATTGCCTTCTCCGATGGACATCACTAGATGGTCAATATCAAAATCAGATTGATTATATCCTTTGCAGCCAAAGATGGAGAATCTTTCTACAGTCAGCAAAAACAAGACCGAGAGCAGACTGTGGCTCAGATCATGAACTCCTTATTGCCAAATTCAGACTTAAATTGAAGAAAGTAGGGAAAACCACTAGACCATTCAGGTATGACCTAAATCAGATCTCTTATAATTATACAGTATAAGTGACAAGTAAATTGAAGGGATTAGATCTGATAGACAGAGTGCCTGATGAACTATGGACAGAGGTTCATGACCTTGTACAGGAGACAGGGATCAAGACCATCCCCAAGAAAAAGAAACACAAAAGGGCAAAATGGCTGTCTGAGGAGGCCTTACAAATATCTGAGAAAAGAAGAGAAGCTAAAGGCCAGGGAGAAAAGGAAAGATATTCCCATTTGACCAAAGAATAGCAAGGAGAGATAAGGAAGCCTCCCTCAGTGATCAACGTAAAGAAATAGAGGAAAACAATAGAATGGGAAGGACTAGAGATCTCATCAAGAAAATGAGAGATACCAAGGGAACATTTCATGCAAAGATGGACACAATAAAGGACAGAAATGGTAGGGACCTAACAGAAGCAGAAGGTATTAAGAAGAGGTGGCAAGAATACACAGAAGAACTATACAGAAAAGATCTTAATGATCCAGATAATCATGATCACTCACCTAGAGCCAGACATCCTGGAATGAAGTCAAGTGGACCTTAGGAAGCATCACAATGAACAAAGCTACTTGAGGTGATAGAATTTCAGCTGAGCTATTTCAAATCCTAAAAGATGATGCTGTGAAAGTACTGTACTCAATATACCACCAAATTTGGAAAGATCAGTAGTGGCCGCAGGGCTGGAAAAGGTCAATTTCCATTCCAATCCCAGAGACAGGCAATGCCAATGAATATTCAAACTAACACACAATTGTACTCACCCACACACTAGCAAAGTAATGCTCAGCCAGGTGTCAACAGTGGGTGAACTGTGAACTTCCAGATGGTCAAGCTAGATTTAGAAACGGTAGAGGAGTCAGAGGTCAAATTGCCAACATCCACTGGCTCATCGGAAAAACATGAGAGTTCCAGAAAAACATCTACTTCTGCTTTTTTGGCTATACCAAAGCCTTTGATTATGTGTATCACAACAAATTGTGGAAAATTCTTCAAGAGATGGGAATACCAGACCACCTGACCTGCCTCCTGAGAAATCTGTATGCAGGTCAAGAAGCAATAGTTAGAACCAGAACAGTTCTAATGGAACAATAGATGGTTCCAAATCGGGAAAAGAGTACGTCAAAACTGTATATTGTCACCCTGCTTATTTAACTTATATGCAGAGTACAACATGTGAAATGTGGGACTGGATGAAGCACAAACTGGAATTAAGATTGTCAGGAGAAATATCAATAACCTCAGATATGTAGATGACACCACCCTTATAGCAGAAAGCGAAGGAGAACTAAAGAACCTCTTGATGAAAGAGAAGAGTGAAAAAGCTGGCATAAAATTCAGCATTCAGAAAACTAAGATCCCATCACTTCATGGCAAATAGATGGGGAAACAATGGAAACAATGAGAGACTTTATTTTTGGGGGCTCCAAGATCACTGCAGATAGTGACTGCAGCCATGAAATTAAAAGACGCTTGCTACTTGGGAGAAAAGCTATGACCAACCTAGATGGCATATTAAAAAGAAGAGACATTACTTTGCCAACAAATGTCCATCTAATCAAAGCTATGGTTTTTCCAGTAGTCATGTATGGAAGTGAGAGTTAGACTATAAAGAAAGGTGCGTGTGGAAGAATTGATGCTTTTGAACTGTGGTGTTGAAGAAGACTCTTGAGAGTCCCTTGGACTGCAAGGAGATCCAACCAGTCTATCCTAAAGGAAATCAGTCCTGAATATTCACTGGAAGTACTGATGCTGAAGCTGAAGTTCCAATACTTTGGCTACCTGTTGTGAAGAACTGATTCATTGGAAAAGACCCTGATGCTGGGAAGGATGGAGGGTGGAAAGAAAAGGGGATGACAGAGGATGAGATAGTTGGATGGCATCACCGACTAAATGGACATGAGTTTGAGTAAACTCTGGGAGTTGGTGATAGACAGGGAGATCTGGCATGCTGCAATTCATGGGGTCACAAAGAGTCGGACACCACTTGAGCGAATGAATGAACTGAATTGAAAAGAGAGCATGACTTTCTATTCAGGCAAGTCTAGTTTTATTTCTGAAGGGTATTTGAAAGATTTCTTCATATGAATTCACAGTTTTGTTAAGTTTATTCTTTGTAATCTTGTCTTTTTATTCTGTTTAAATGGTGTTCTCTAATCCACCATCCCCTCTATGTGGTCATTGTTTGCACACACAAAAGCTGCTCGTTATTATGCTAATTTTGTACCCTGATATTCAATGAATTTGCCTTGCTTTTGTACATGTAGGTTTGCTTTAGTAACTTTAGCTTTATTCTCGAGTCTCCTGGATTTGCTATGGATGCACTTAGCCACAAACAGGACAGCTTTCTTGTCCCTGCATTGTTTTCTCCTGCCTGATTGCTTTGGCTCCTGCTGCCAGGAGACACAGAGATGGTGGGCCTGCTGTCTTATGGTGTTTCTTCTCAGGAACTAGCTTGGCTTTGAGACTGTGGGACATTTTATCATGTCAAGCATGTTAGCATTGATTCCCACGTACCTGAGCATCTTTGCTGTTGCTGCTTTAATCAGGAAATGGCCTTGGGATTTGTAGAAATCACACATCAAGCATGAAGTTTCGCGCACGGCTGTCTCCAAACGGGGTGTCCTTGGAAACACAGGTGAAGTCCAGGGAGAATCACTGTGTCAGCTTCACTTTCTCTGCAGCCTCTGAGACGCGGGTCCATAGTGGATCAGGAGCTGAGCGTTCAGGACTTGGGTTGGCTGGCAGAAAGGAAGAAGAGATCGCAGGAGCAGAGACCGCACGTGCAGAGTGGGCCCTGTCCGAGGCAGCCAGACTCACTACGGTGGGAGAGGCCCAGCTGCCGCAAGAACGTCTCGAGAGAGGAGGGAGCCGTGTGTGCTGAGCCCTCAGCGCTAAGCCAACCTGGCCTGAGACGGGCACCTGTGTGCCCCGTGAGTCTGGGCGCCAGCTGGTTGCACTGATGGCTCAGGGTTAAGTTCTTTTAAAAGCTGTGCAAAAAACCAGACCAACCACAAGGACCTACTGAAAGGCACAAGAAACTATAGTCAGTACTTTGTGATAAACTGTATGGGGAAAGAATCTGAAAAAGGACATACACACACACACACACACACGCACATATATACGGCTAATTCATTTTGCTCTAAGACTAGCATAACATTGTAAATCAACTCTACTTCAATAAAAAAATACAGAAGAAATGAATAAGCAACAAGGATGAATTATACCTCCCAGGTAATATAGTTAACATTTTATAATACCTGTAAATGGGATATAACCTTTAAAAACTCCATTGTACACCTGAAACTTCTATAATATCATACACCAAGTATACCTTTATTTAAAAGTGTGCACATATATATAAGTTCAATGGAATAAAAGCTATACTAATTTCTTGGTTTGGTGAATATGCTGGTTTTTATCTCACGGCTGCCAGCCCCTTCGGGAGCCAGTGTTCTGGAAGCCTGCTGGTGTGTGAGTGGGAGGTGCCTGAGAGCTGACCCCCAGGGCCCTCACCCGTGCTGCTGATCTGGGACCCAGGCTTCTAGCACCACCCTATGTCTGACCACTGTTTCCATCCACCAAAACCTGGGGGGAAGCTCCTCCTCAGAGCAGACCTTGGCCCTGCAGTTGTAGTGCAGGCCCCGGCACTTGGGTTCTGAAAAGGGGCAGGACCCACCGCGGCCACTGTCAGGGGCTCGCTTTGACAAGGGTGGCTCTGAGGCCCCACAGATTCCGAGCTCGAATTCCAGACCCTGTAAGGGGCCACCACTCCACAGAGCCACCTGTCAGCCCAGTCTCCCACTGACCGCATGTCCCGGCAAAGAGATCTTCCCACAATCCCCTGTGCCTTGTCTGTGGGGAGGATGCCGGAAAGCCAGGCCTGCCACCCCAAGTGTTCCTGGGGCTAGAGGTCGTCACAGAGCTGGGACGGGCTCCTGCCTCATAAGAGTGAAACAGCCCCCTACTCCCCACTGGAGACGCCAAGTCAGCAGACGGGAGAGTCCTGTCAACGGCAAGCTGAAGGCTGCCAGGACGGCGGCTTCTTACCCATTCAGCGATGTTTATCGAGTACGTCGTCTGCGCCTGACTAGCTGAAGCTGAAACTCCACTACTTTGGCTGCCTGATGCCAAGAGCCAACTCACTGGAAAAGACCCTGATGCTGGGAAAGATTGAAGGCAGGAGGAGAAGGGGACGACAGAGGATGAGATGGTTGGATGGCATTGCTGACTCAATGGACATGAATGTGAGCAAACTTCAGGAGATAGTGGAGGGCAGGGAAGCCTGGAGTCCTGCAGTCCCTGGGGTCACAGAGCCAGACATGACTTAGCAATTGAACAACAACAGCAAAGTCAGTGTCTGGAACTGGTGACAGCAGGCTGAAGGGAAGCCACAGCCCTTGTCCCGTAGAGTTGCAAGTTGAATCCTGTGTTATTTTCAGTTGTTCACACACAATGGCAAAGAAGCCCTCTTATTTCTGTGTTCCTCTAAGAATGTCAGCTTGTAAAACTTTCAAGAAAGATTGTTTGTGGAATAATCACTAGTCAACTCTGAATCTTCATCTTGTGAACTGATTTTAAAATGTATGCAGGATATAGTCTCTTTTCCTATTTTTTTTTAATTTTTTTAACAAGCAGCTTTGTTCTCTTTCCAGCAGTCACAGACTTTATCACATTATTGCTGGAAGACACACACAGATGAAGTGTGCTTTTCACTCTGGCTTTTTAAGAGTGCACGCAGGGTTCCCTGATGAAAACGCATTCTTCCAGGATCCTTAGAGGTTACCATTTCCTCAAATGTCTTCACCTGCTTACGGTCATTCCTGTTACCTTCTGTATCAGAAATGACATTTCCCCAGCCCAGCTTCCTTATCTGGACTTACACAATGCACTGTCTGAATAAAGAAAGATGCTAAAACTATGGTCTGGTCCTTAGAAGGCATCACTTCAGGACACAGCATCCTTAGCAGATAGATCCAAGGAGCCAAAGTGGCCTGAGAGTGTCTGCATCCTGAGAGGCCCTGCCCTGGAATCTGTCTTTTCACAGGTGGTCCCAGAGACTCTGGACTGTCCTCACGCAGCCGGTGCTGACATGCTCCCTGTGGCCCTGGAGGGCTCAGGTCTCCGTGGGGAGAAGTCCCTGCGAGTCTCCGGGACCAGAGCAGGGGGCAGGCAGCGACGCCAGAGTCCTCACTGCAGTGGGGATACTTTAGGAACTGGACTAGGTGGCCCCCAGGCCTCTTTGCTCCAGTATTCCACCCCATGGGATTGCAGGTGGACTGTGAAAATGCAAATCCTGTGAAGGGGAGGGGCAGCAGGCTGCTTTCTTAGCTGCCTGCCCACCTCATAGTGGCTGACACTCTGTTATTCAGAGAAATGCTTTTGAATAATGAGCAGGTGAGAACAGCTGGGGCCATTTTGGAGCATTCAGATGCTGTAATCCTGTAGAAAGTGGAAAAGCACGATGCATTTGGAAGAAGGCAGAGATTAGAGAAACAGGAAGGACTTTCCACAGATGGACCCAACTGGCTTTGAGGACTTCCTATTTAATCAGGGAACCACTGCTGATCAGTCAGGGAGAGACAGCAGGTACCTGTGATCTACCAAGGCAGTTCTTATTTTGAAAAATAAAGGGTGGGGGAGGGGGGCTCTGGGTGCTCACAGTATAGGATTACGCCAAAAATAAATGCAGGAATGCAGTGTGGAGGAGGGGGCAAAAGGAGGAAATTATTACCTGATTATCTGAAAGAGTGGAAATTTCTTGTTTGATGTTTCTTTTATTTTCTTTGAAGCATGTAAACATTAAGAGAAATCACAGGATGATTTTCTTCTGGATATGACTAAATAAATATTCAAAACATTATTTGAAAAACGTAAGAGTGGATTTATAATGGAGGGGCAGGAGTTAGGGAAGAGGATGTCTACAAATAAGCCAAACAAAGAGTTAATTTCCTAAGGGACAAAAACTCTAGAGAAATTAATAGTCTTTCTTTTGTTTTCCTTAATTGAAAAGTGGTTGAAGGAAATGAGCAGATTATTTACAAGGAGATTATTGATAAGGTGACTTAAAAATTATTCAAATTCTCTGGTGATTAGTGGGAGGCAGTTTATCACAGTGGTGAGATATTTGTTACTCACTAAATTAGAAAAGTTTAAAAATAGTGATAGTATCCAAAAGTCTGTTCTGTACATCTGTGTCTCTTTTTCTGTTTTGCATATAGGGTTATCGTTACCATTTTTCTAAATTCCGTATATATGTGTTAGTGTACTGTATTGGTCTTTATCTTTCTGGCTTACTTCACTCTGTATAATGTTTTGAGAGAACAGCATCGAAACATGTATATTATCTAGGGTGAAACAGATCACCAGTCCAGGTTGGGTGCATGAGACAAATGCTCGGGCCTGGTGCACTGGGAAGACCCAGAGGGACTGGGTGGAGAGGGAGGTCGGGGGGGATCAGGATGGGGAACACATGTGGATCCACGGCTGATTCACGTCATAATTTGACTTGGTGATTCCTTTCCTTAGCATTTGTTTCCAAGAAATAGTCACCAAACTGACCACCGAAGGCTTCTTCATAAAGGTGCTCAACTTAAAATTATCTATAATAGTGAAAAAATCTTATGTCCAGCCATAGGGAATAATTATATTGCACTAGGGATGGGAATACCAGACCACCTGACCTGCCTCCTGATAAATCTGCATGCAGGTCAGGAAGCAACAGTTAGGACTGGACATGGAACAACAGACTGGTTCCAAATTGGGAAAAGAGTAATTCAAGGCTGTATATTGTCACCCTGCTTATTTAACTTATATGAAGAGTACATCATGAGAAACGCTGGGTTGGAGGAAGCACAAGCTGGAATCAAGATTGATCGGAGAAATATCAATAACCTCAGATATGCAGATGACACCACCCTCATGGCAGAAAGTGATGAAGAACTAAAGAGCTTCTTGATGAAAGAAAAAGAGGAGAGTGAAAAAGTTGGCTTAAAGCTCAACATTCAGAAAACTAAGATCATGGCATCTGGTCCCGTCAATTCATGGCAAATAGATGGGGAAACAGTGTAAACAGTGAGAGACTTTATTTTTGGGGACTTCAAAATCACTGCAGATAGTGACTGCAGTCATGAAATTAAAAGACACTTACTCCTTGGAAGAAAAATTATGACCAACTTAGACAATATATTCAAAATCAGAGACATTACTTTACCAACAAAGATCCATCTAATCAAAGCTATGGTTTTCCAGTAGTCATGTATGGATGTGAGAGTTGGACTATAAAGAAAGCTGATCGCCGAAGAATTGATGCTTTTGAACTGTGGTGTTGGAGAAGATTCTTGAGGGTCCCTTGGACTGCAAGGAGATCCAACCAGTCCATCCTAAAGGAGATAAGCCCTGAATATTCATTGGAAGGACTGATGCTGAAGCTGTAACTCCAATACTTTGGCCACCTGAAGTAAAGAACTGACTCATTTGAGAAGACCCTGATGCTGGGAAAGATTGAAGGCTGGAGGAGAAGGGGACAACAGAGGATGAGATGGTTGGATGGCATCACCAAATCAATAGACATGAGTTTGAGTAAGCTTCAGGAGTTGGTGATGGACAGGGAAGCCTGGCATGCTGCAGTCCATGGGGTCACAAAGAGTCGTACACGACTGAGCAACTGAACTGAAGTGAGATCACACAACAGATAATTATACCATCATGAAAATGCTTCTTGAAAATTGTCAACGACATGTAAAAAATTTTACTGCACAATATGAAGTGGAAAAAAATCAGGATATAAAATTGCACATGCAGTATAATTTCAATTATGTAAATCTATGTGCATAAGCCCAGCAGAAAATGCAGATGAACTTAACAGTGCTTACCCTTGGGTTACGGCATTACAGGTCTTTAAAATATATTTCTTTAAATTATGCCTTTTCTTTATACTTTCTTACATGTGTGCATTACTTTCTAAAAATGATAGTAATGACAGAAGCAGAGTCCTTTCCATAAAGAGCTGAATCTGCCACTAGCAGCTGAGCTAGGCAGCTTGAGTTTCCAAACCGCGGAGTTACCACAGAAATCCTCTCCTCCGGGTTCAGACTCCCCAGCCTCCTGCAACGTCCCAGCACTCGGTTCTGCTCTCTATTGACTAAAAAGGCTTCTCATCATACATCACTGCGCGTTTATAGATCTTAATTTTCCCGTCTGCTTTTTTTCCTTTCTTGGTTTATTGTTGTTCATTTTATTTTATGTTTATGATCGAAACACAATTTTGGTTTCTTTATTCTTCTCCTTAGGAATGAAGCATTGTTTGCTGGGGGCAGAGGCAGCTCCTGGAATCTTCCGAGGACAGGTCAGGAGGGAAGGGGGGCCCCCAGTCTGTGGCCCCACCCACCGGGTACCCACACCCTGGCCCTCTGCTGGGTTTGCCCTGGGCTCTCCCCAGGGGTGGGGTGCCTTTGGAGGAGGAAGAGAGCCCCTGCTTCCCCAAGGACACCTACCCCAGCCCCTGGGCAGAGGGAGGCTGCCTGTGGCCACCCTGAAGGATGGGACGGATCGGGGGAGGTGTGGCCCGCCGTGGGGCGGGAGGCAAGAACACGGGTCTCTTCCAGTGCAGAGTGGATGGAGACCGGTCTTGGGAGCCCAGGAACAAACGATGCCTCCTGGAGATTTGTCCCACGGAGGTCTGCCTTCAGAGGGCAGTGGGGCAGGGCGGGGGGCGGTCTTTGGGTCAGGAGACCCAAAGGCATCCTCTGTGCAGAACTTGGAGAGACGCCTCCCTCCCAGGAGAGGCCCTGGCTGGAACATCATCACCCAGAGGGAAACTCTCCAGCTTTGATATTTCATAGCTGGTCATTTTCAAAACAGGACTAACGTCAATCAATGTCTTGGGGACCTGAGCAACCTCACCAGGCAAGGCGATGGGGGTGCAGGGCAGCAGGGCTGAGTGACACTTTTAATCAAGACTCCTGGGCCTTGGGGCGTGAACTTGCTCTAAACTCAAAGCACCGCGTCTCCACTGACAACACGCCCGGGAGGGGAGGGGGCCGTTCCTGGTACAGCCCCGTGAGAGGAAGCGCTGCCGTCCTGCTTGCCTCTGACACCACCCTGGTGGGGCGCCGGGGAGCTCATTGCAGCCGCGTGGGAGGGGGCACATCTAGGCTCCCCCACCAGCTTCTTCCGCCCCAAGTCTGGGTGCACAAGGCAAAGGCGACCTGGACCCCTGCAGCGCCGGCTGTTCTCAGGCCCCGAGGTGCAGGCTCATGAGGCATCCATGCTCCGTGCCTGGGCTCAGTCTGCCTGCGTCAATAGCATGCACACATCGGGGGCAGTAGACTCAGCGAGATGCACACGGACGCACTCGCTGACTCCATCTTGCTGGGAGAAGCCCCAGATTCCTTTTCACAGAGAAATAGGAAGACACTTTCACTCTTTTCTTCCGGACTTTTGTCTGCAGAGATCAGGGAGGGGCAGCCCTGACGTTCCGAAGCAGGATAAGCCTCTCTTCCTCAGAAATCTTCACAGGCTCACTCAACGTGCTGACAGCTTTTAATCACGTTGCTTACCTGCCCGTTTGTCAGCAGAACCCGCTGAGCGAGCCGAGCTGTGAATTACACCTCCCCTGCAAACTGTCCCCAGACCAGCCCTTCTCGGTCTCCTGCAGGGCCAAGCATATGTGCGAAGTTCAAGTGAGCACTTACGAGCAGACTCTGAACGCACAAGGATTCTGTGCAGAAAAATCTTACATCCTACTTCCACTTCTTGACAAAAATCTCTTGAAAGGCAGTAATTCAAGCCTGTCTCTTATGAATTTGATAAATCCCGTGGTCGTAGGCAAGATGCTTTCCAGATTATTGATGGTGTTTGAGAGCAGCCTGGTTGGGAAGGCGAGGAGGCAGGAGGGCGTGTGGAGCTTCTTCCAACACCAAACACAACCCAGCCAGATGGGTTGCCAGACGCGGGAGGCGTCCTCTCTGTGTATTGAATACTAAGACTTTTATTACAGTCCGACTTACTCTAGGAATGAAAACTTTTCACAATTTCAAAGATATGGTACATCCTTTGAAGTTTTAAAAGGAATCAGGGGCTGGAAGACAGGGATAGGCGGCACACAGATCCTGTGTCGGCGGAGACTGAAGCCGGGCAGGACCCTCTGGGCACAAATTCTTTCCGCGTCCCTTGTTTCTTATTTGTAGGGAACAGGCTTCAGGCTGCCTCCAAGGCCTTCCCTGAGTTCCAAAGGGCAGTTTCAAACAGTTCTTAATCAGGCAGGGGAGGGGTACAGAGATAAGGAGGAATAGTCGGGAAACAGTCGTGCAGTGATTAAAGCAGGGTCCCGGTTCCTCCTCAAGGGATGTACGGAACGTATCTTTGAGTTCTTCTGTGGAAACTGAGCCCCCCCCCACCTGGAAGGCAAGTCCAGGCTGAGGACAAGATCCCCAGACAATGGCGCCGTTGCTTCACCGCTGAAGGATCAGGAAAGTCACACAGCCCTGCAGCCCGCACCCCAAATTTTGCCTGTAAACACTGTCCCCCCATGCCGTCAGGGAATGAGGGTTTTTGAAGCATGAGCCGCCCACTGTCCTTGCCTGGCCCTGCAATAAAGCTTTCTCTGCTCCAGGCTCTGCCGTTTCAGTTTGGTCTCCCGGGCCTCTTGGCACGTGAACTTGTGTTTGGGAACACATGGGCACAGTGGACAGCAGGTGCCCGGGGAGTCACCGGGGCGTGTGAGGCGGGCACCCCTGCCTTGGGTCGTCATGTGAAGCCCCAGCAGAGGTGGAAAGGGCAGCACCGTTCCAGAGAGGCTGCTTCTCTTCCCCTCCTCCCCTCGAAGCCACAAGCCTGTCTTCTTCCAGGACCAGGTTTCCCACAGCTCCCCACTTTTCTGTGGCTTCTTCCACCTGGCGGAAGATGAGCAGCCTTGCAGGGTGTTTCAAGGCAAGCTTTTTGCTTTGGGCCCAAGTTGAGCTTTGCTTAAATTACAAGATTTTCAAGAAAGAGCAGTTCTCCTCTGAAACAATCCACATTCTTGGACGTGCTCCTGCAGATGGGCAGAAATAAACCCGCTTAGAGTGTCAGCTCGTTTCCCTGGTGCCTCAGACAGTGAAGAATCCGCCTGCAGTGCAGGAGACCCAGGCTCAACCCCTGGGTCAGGAAGACCTCCTGGAGAAGGGAACGGCAACCCACTCCTGTATCCTTGCCCAGAGAATCCCATGGAGGCTGGTGGGTTACAGTCCATGAAGGAGCAGAGAGTCAGACACGACCGGGCTACTGACACACACGAGGAGCAGCTCTGTGCCCTATGACCTCCACGCTACACAGGTACACAGGTGGGAAGCTCTGTGCCCTTTGACCTCCACTCTATGCAGGTGGGAAGCTCTGTGCCCTACGACCTCCACTCTACACAGGTACACAGGTGGGAAGCTCTGTGCCCTTTGACCTCCACTCTACGCAGGTGGGAAGCTCTGTGCCCTTTGACCTCCACTCTACGCAGGTGGGAAGCTCTGTGCCCTTTGACCTCCGCTCCACTCAGAGACAAAAGTAAATCCCACATTCACGACCTCTTTGCTGTACCTTTCTTTCTTTCATTATCTCAATTATTTTAAAAGAGATGTTGAAGAAAACCATCAATAATAGCAAAGCAGTTTTGTTTTTGTTTGAATTCTCGTGGCTGGAGGTGAAGATGAAGAGAGGCTGTAACACGGTGGTGATCACTGGTATTTTACCTGATTCTCTTAGGGAACTGTTGACCGAAACTACCTGCCTGGGCCACGCCCCATGATGACCACGTGCCAGGCTGTCACACGACAGGAGGGGCCAAGAAGGGGAGGGGAACCAGCCCATCGTATGTCCGGCCAGCCTCCCAGAGCCCTTCACATTGGAATCCAGACCAACTATGGGCCAAGCAAGAGGACTGACCAGAGACAACCCAAAAACTAAGCCCATCACCTAAAACTCAGGACAGCAAGCCACGTGGAGAGCAAAGCTCCCGGACCCCCTTAGCCTCCTGCTCTCTGCCCGGGCGCCCCTCCCCATAAAGTCTCGTGCTTTGTCAGCGCGTGTGTCTCCTTGGACAATTCCTTTCTGAGCTGGACAGGCGCAGACGCTCGGGCCCTGCAAGGGGTTCCCCTTCCTGCAACCATTCTGCCCAGACACACCCCATGATTAGAAATGAAGCCACACATTAGTGAGATTATTTGACATTGCAGTTTATAAAAGTTTCAAGTAAGGTATGCACCCCAGTACACCTTCAGTGCAGAACTCCTGGTTTCTTCTTTTGAAGGATATTCACGCAGCAAGAAAGCTTCCTTTAAAATGGAACTCAAGTCCAGAAGAATTTCAGGAAAGTGATTTACTTATTTTCTCTCAAAAGCAAAAGTTATAAATTGTGAAGTGTTGTGTCACAGAAACTAGAGCTTCATGCTGAAAGTGGTTTGATAGAGGCCTTAGGATAAAAATAAAGGAGGTTCTGGAGGCACTTAGACATTTCACAGGTTAATTAAATCATCAAGGTCAGAAGTCTGAAATTTCCTCCCTTGCCAGGAAGCCTCTAAGTAATGGAAGGTTTTTTTTTTTTTTCTTTTTAATGCAACTTTCCACTTTAACAGAAAATCAAGATTCTAAACTGTAGTAATTCTGGGGGGAAAAACTGCAGTTTTCTGGTACAGTCTTTTTGCTTTGCCTTTCTTGTAATATGGTCACAGTGAAATAAAAATAGTAACAGGACCACAGGGCTCATCACCTTATCTGATTAATTTATGGTAAAACAACAACTTTGCTTACCTGTGATGCAACGCTTAGTCACTGGATATCAGTTTAGACAACTTGAAAATATTATCCTTAGGCCTCAAATTCTTTCCATTGCCAGAATTTTTATATCGTAATGATTGTGCTTTGTGTTTTAAACAGCTGTGTATGTGAATCCCAGCCCTCCTCATTTCCATCTAATAAAGTGGCGCAACATTCTCTCCCTCTATTAGCTTATGTGAGCTCAGTCCTCCCAGATACTTTGGGAATGTTCTCTGAATGCATGCGAAATGTGTGTGCCCTTGTAAAACGTTTATTTCATAATTTTAGAGAGAACTGAGATCGTAATAATTCTTGATTTACTAGAAATGGCAGTGAACAAGAACTCCATTTCCAATGCATTTTGAATAACTGACATGCATAATAAATAATGCATCTAGCCTTTATCCTCAGGTGCTGGGAGGGAGCTTCTAAACCCTTTGGGTTTCCTGAGTGATAGGAGGAGATGTCTTTGTTATTCATGGTGGGTACAGAGACCACATCTGAGCTTATGCTAACTAGATAACTCCTGGAAAAGCAAAAGTCTGATAAACAAATGTTTACTGGGCCTTGGAGAGACAATGGGACACAGAAACTTTTCTTTTTGTCTCCACATCAATTGCCTTCATCCCCTCTTTGAAGTCCCAGTCGCTGCCCTCAAAGTCCCCTTTGGTTTTGTTTGAAGATGGTATTTAATGTGAGGGCTTTGTCCATTTTGAGGCCTTACCTGGTCTTCCTGGGTCTCTCCCATGTTTAAATGCCATTAAACTTTTGCTTGATTTTTCCCCTGTTAACCTGTCTCACGCCAATTCAATCACTAGAAGAGCCAGACCCTGGAAGGGTAGAGGCAAATTGTGTCCCTCTCCAGCAGTGGCTGGTTCTGATTTGTTTCCTCTATAATAAAACTGAATGTAAGTGTAAGCCTTTCTGGAGTTTTCTAAGTCATTCTAGTGAATTATTGAACCTGAGAGGAAAGTGGAAAGTTGCTAGGTGTGCAGCCGGTGGGCTGGCAGCACAGGAGACCTGGTGGGCCAGCAGCTGGCGTCTGCGGTGAAGGCAGTCTTGCCGGGGGCTGTGCCCCGCGGGGTCTGCGCTGACCCCGCACCAGAGCCGCACCGCTGTGCTGCACCAGCTACTGGTCCGTCTCCAGCATCGCAGTTGCTTGATTCCTGTGCTTCGTGACGACTGAGAGGCTGAGTCGAGAACACTCTTCCTAGGTGATAAACATAAGCACCATTATTCCAAGTCCTATGCACATCATTCATTCAGTGATTCTTAGTTTGTACCATGGAATCCGCCAGACTCTTTGGAACATATATTCATAGAACATGGCCATCCTTCCCAAACCTGACATGGGGTCGTAGGACAGGAAGTTCAGCGTTTACGGCAGGTGTCAAGCAAGGAGGGTGGGCAGCTTCCGCTCAAAAGACACGCGTTGGAGTGTCACGTGAACCCCTCCAGGAAGCACTGGGGTCTGTTTTATTGCTGAGATACTGGCCTTACTGTTCTGGCTCAACCACTTTTCCTTTGTGCCCGCCCTCTCTCGCCTCTCTGGTTTAGTAAGTGCTCTAGTCTGCTCTTTGCTGCCCAGGGAAAGCTTGGGAGACTAGAGCCCTTTCTGCAAACAGGAAGCAGGGACAAGGAAGGGCTTTGTTCCTGGGAAGCCCACAGGAATCTGCGTGGCTTCAACCCCTCTTTTCTTTGTTCTCCTCAATCCTTAGGGGAGCAGGAGCAGGACAAGAAAGGGGATAGTTCTGGATAGAGAGGTTAGTCAGATGCTCAGCAAGGGAACTTGGTTCTAGGAGGGTTCAGTGAATTCCCCAGTGAGAAGAGAAATTGCAGGAAGTCACTAGGTTGAGAAGAAAGTCAGGAGAGAGGGGTGCGGCAGGAGGGGAGAGGACTAGTTTGACGGGGCGTGAGAGTAGGTCGGGGAGGGGTGTCGAGGGTCAGTCATGAGGAGTGTGATGTGTTTAGGGGCCGGGGACGGGGGACAGATGAGGTCTGTCCTGGAGTCCTGACCCCCAGACACACCCACAAACTGCTGCCGAACTCAGGTTCAGGTTCGGCTGCTAGTTGCTTAGAAATAGTATGCTTCCTGCCACATCAGTGAACAAGTGTGGCATGGTCATCAGAGATTCTGGCTCTCCATATGAACCTGTGAGCCCTAAAGGAACTGAGAAAGGAGACGAATACCTGCACCTGAGAT